AGCCTAAGCCTAAGCCTAAGCCAGGAAACATAATAAATAAAATAAAAAACAATAAAATCAAATAAACCCACAGTAAATAAAAAAACATAACCCAAAATCCACAGTAACACTGGCTGAAAAACCATCTGCATACCATAAAAGTAGTCAACCATGTAAAAACCTTGGCACCAATAGGAACAGCAATAACTATACTAGCAGTAGAGAAATAAGCACAGGAATTCTTATCCATACCTACAGTATATATGATGAGCCCAAACTGCATAACCAATTAAAGCAGTCTTCAACATAGCATGAATAAACCATGCCCAATAACCAAAAACCTCCTACTTATCAGTCAAATATAATCGCCTCTGACTAGCAATACCAAAAACAGGCATAACCTAAAATCATAACCTAAGGTGACCAAAAAACCCAAAATAAATGCTAATAAGATGAAGGATTACCACCACTACCATCCATCCAATATCAAGATAACCATCCACCTACAAGCCAATCGAGCAGAGGCCAATCAAATTCAAAGACCTATCTAAAAAAACATTTATGATTTAGAATGTTTTCACTCAGTTCTCAATAGATAGACATTAGATAGATTTCTCAATAGATTTTAAATTTAATTGAACAACATAAAAATTCCAATAAAAACTTATCAGAAACACAAAAAAAATTCACCAAACAAAAAAATAAATTTACAACACCTATAAAAATCCAATTTCAAATTCTACATTCTATTGAGTACTAAAAGAAAAGAAAAGATTCATGGCTACAGCTTCAAATATATTGCCCCACAAATTACATTGCTAACTACCACCAATACATTTAATAAAATTCTCACAATGTTCAGTAAATTCTCAGTAGTCTCAATCATAAAAGGCAAAACCCACCTTATAATCAGAATAATCCGAATATTCACAACTCAAATTCCACTGATAACCAACCGAACCTACATTTAAGTCCCTGTTAAAATTCATCATCCTATACTCACATAACAAAACCAAAGAAAAAAATACTGCAAAAAACTCAACAAAACGCTAATTATCCTCAAGCCTCTTATGAAGAGAATGTCTAACAATAAGATTAGAAAACAAAAAACTACAAACACCAAATTCATCAAAAGAAAATTATAACCAATGCAAAGAATTCAATCCATAATAGCCGGCAAATATCTAACCATAAAATTAAAATTAAAACCATGAAAGAAAGATGAAAAAGAAGGCTCTAATAATCCCTAAACCACAAGATTGGAAATTAAACGCACTAAAATGCATTCAAGAATTCAAAAAGAGAAAAACCAGAGACAAGGCAATGAACCATGCTAAATTATCGCAGTCTCATTCCAAACCACCATTATTACTATAATCAAGAGCACGACCAGAAAAAAAAGAATGAAATAAATTAGCTAAAAAAACTATTAAGCACCAAATAATTTTAATATAGACCAATAAGAGTTTATAAAAATTTTATCATTAATTTTATCATAAAATTTTATCACAGCCAGTCAAAAAGTCCATCAGAGAATGATACCACAAAAACACCAAACTCTCATTCTTTAAAACATAATGATAATGACTACATAACAATATCACGGAAAACAAAATTAGAATTATATAAAAATAATACCAGTAAAACTACCCATAGTAAACAAAAACCCAAAGAAAGGCAATAACAAAAACAAATAAAGAAAAACTGTCCAAAGAAATAGAAGTTCTACCCATATTCTTAACAATAACCACAAAGTTAATACCACCCAAAATAGAAGTAACTCCAGAACAATGTAAACTGAAGATAGATCTAAGCAGCACTAAATAAAAAAATTCAATTCCTAAATTTCTTTATTCTGACGACCGCTCCCATACGTAATAATTCTCTAAATTCATAAAATTGAAATCTCTTCTCGTATTTGTAAAGTATTTAAAACATATTTGCCCTGAAGCTATTTCGTCGTACAAGCGAATGATATCATTTTTGCCTTTACAGCAAATATTTCAATCGATTTATGCTGTAGATATTACATTTGCAGAAATTAACTATAATTTAATGCCTCGAGGGTAATATAATGAGGGTAATATGTATTTTGCAAAAAATATTTTTTAAATTTTTATTAGCCTCTTTTTTTATTTCTTTTATTGATATCTACAATATTTATAAAAGGTAATATTAATAAAGAACAAGTTTCACAGCCAAGAAATTGTGTGATTTATGATGATTAAATTGCAATGTACCTGAGAAGTGAATTAAAGTGCACTTCAGAGATGGTGATAAATCCACTTCATACACATTTCCTCTTTCGCTAACATCTCTTCCTTCACGAAATGTTCACATATCGGTTATTTACATATTGCAATGAGTATATTAAGGGTTTT